CACACACAGACAACCCCTCGACAATATGCGTTTTTGCATCGCATAGATGCAAAAAACGCATAAAAATATAAATAACTTAGCGATCAGAATAGCTAAAAAACTGGAACACTGTAGGCTTTGCGAGGTCATATAGTAAGTCTCGAAGTTTTAATCTGAAGCTATCTGAAGCTTTCAACTGTGATCTCAGTAAACGGTAACAAATTCGCTTTTGAAAAACATATAAATCTGGTCACAGAGAACAAGACAATTTCACGGAAGGCCTCCGATGCGTCCCTTAAATTTCAGGTAAGGACTGTGCCTTTTTCCTCCTTCAGGAAAAGAGAGAAAAGAAGTGAAAAAACAGGCAAGCTGGAAAATGAAATACCTGAAATATGTGGAACACAACATCCGGCGCCTCACTGACAGCCATCCTAGCGCGCCGCCCGATAAGAACCTATGGTAAATTTAAGATGAATTCCATTCCTAAACACGCTTCATTTATCATTGGACTAACTTTATCAAGGACAAAACAAACGGATAAATTGGAGAAACAATTACACGGCGTAAAGAAATATGCGTGTATTTGCTGGGACTTCTAGTCGGCAAAGCGCCCGTCGTGAACAAATAACAGCTTTCTGGATGAAGCGGCACTGCCCAGTTCACACGAAGGTGATCCTCGAGATGGCCCAAATCTCCCAACTGCGTTTCTGCCAAAAAAGCCGCTCACCCTTTCAGGAAGTGAAACTAATTTCGGGATCACCAGACCATGGGACATTCGTCAAAGCAACTATGAAACTGCCAGTTTTCTATGGATGGGCAACTATACTAAAAAATGTTCCAAATACACTAGGATGCACTCGATACTAAAACGCATATCTGAGCATCGGCTACCACTGCTACCAACAATTCAGCTACGTGTGAAATCTGTACGTAGTATAATTGCTCATCTATGAAGCTGGCAACTTTTCCAATTCTGAAAATAAGTGCAGCGAAAAAATTTTGAGGATTTTCAACCGTAATTCCGACAGCAAGCCAAAAGAAACACTGGATGTGAATAAGTTATTTTTATCAAACACAACTACTACTGTACCGAACAAACACTTGTACACAAAACTCTCCTCTAAGTCAACCATCCCTTACATTAGAAATTTTGTCTTCCTGAATTTTGAAATTCTTTTTTCCTGAAAAAGACAAGGCTTTTCGAAGTGCTCAAAGCACACACATAAAAACGCAGAAAGGATGGAGGAAGTAGGTTTAGCAAACGCAGCTCCCCTCGAAGCAGGAATAAAATACGGCCTCGGCAAAAGAATTATGCTTTCTACTGAAAAATTAATTGGACCCAAACTCGCAAAAAATAGAGCTTTTCCAAATTTTAAGAGCATAAACTTGGAAAAAAAGAGGAGAGATGGACGGGGAGAGAGGAGGGAGGAAGTGATGAAAGAAAGAAAACAAAATTAGTTTTATCTGGAACATCGCAGAGCAATAACAAATTAACATTTTTAATATCTCTTATCAAACGATGATAAAATTTGCTTTCTGTGGCAAGGGTTGCAAAAAGTCGCCATATTTTGGCGAATTTCTAGCAGCAAATCAGGCGGCACAGAGGAAGCAAGATCATCAATTACTGATATTAATATGGTTGAGCTAATGAGAAAGGAGCACTGGGAGACGAGGTATCCGCAGAAACACCGGAACTAGCACCACTGCTGCCGGCATGCTTCTGCTGCGGCTGCTTCGCGCTCAGCACTGCAGGGTCCTCGAGTTCCTGTGGCGCACTATTCGGATCCATAACCATACCCGCGAATTTGCCCATCGCTAACGATGCCACCTCAATCATTCCAACAATTACGGCGCCCACTGCTGCCGAACCCATCATTACCTGCAACAATATGCGTCCATACACAATTAGTGCTTCTATTGTTCAATATCCTAACTCACCACATCCCAGCCCTCCGCAATGGCAGCTAAACAAAGTGCACATATTTTTTTACCGTCGCCTTTTATACATACTCAAATCTAACATACCCTTCACTTTTTGCACCCTCAGCCCACTCTCTGGAACTTCCTCCCCTCCTTTCCTCCAGCCTTTTTTTTCAAAATTGAAATAATACCGTTCCCCCTTCTTACTGTTTGGAAGTTAGGCAACAAAAGAACTACAGGTAAAATAAGGTGCAAATTCGTGTGGTTTGCGGACGCCCGATGAAATGAATGAAGTGATATTGAACGATAAACTAAAGGAAAAACAACGGCAAAAACAGGACAATTCTCATTACGGGCACCAAATTCCAGCATGCCTAACCTTTCAAACCTAGAAATCATCCCCCGACTCATGCAAAAAATGAATGTCTTTTATATACACCCTTATTCTTCCAATACTTAAAAGTGAGAAGCCCCAGATATATAACTGTGAAATTCTTTAGTTTAAAATAAAAAATGTAATAGGCTTAGAGATTTACGAACCATAGGGCCGGATCGCACAGCCAAAAAAGCACCAGTCAATCCACCAGAAGCAATCGGATTGAACATATCTTCCTGCAAAACTGATGCTCAGGAACAACAAAGAAACACTCCGATTTCAAGCCAGTTATTTTAATTAAAATAATGGCATAATGTTTTTTGATGCTCAAAAAGGCACGAAAAACAAAAACTGAAGTGCCTGTAAACTCATCAAATATGGCATCCACATTTACAAGCTGTGACCTCCAAGCTGGTAGGACTGGCAATTTCCCGAGCGGAACAGGTGATGCTTAAGGCACATCTCGAAGCAGCTTAATCCCTGCCAAGTGTTATTTCAGGAAAACCACTGAGCTGACAATCTCCCGAAAATATGTCAGGCTTGCCAGGCTTGGACCGAAACGTCTTATCTCGCTCTCACCATCAATCTACACTACTACTT